ACCTGATACCCAGTTAGTGCCGAGTATTGGGTGTATGGTGCTGACAGGGATGCCAATGGGTGAGGAACAGGCTGCAATTGGGCCATGGCTTGGAGTCTACCTTAGAAATACTTTTTTACTTAGGTGGACCTCCCTAACGGATCCATTAGTGGGGTCTAGTGAGACGGGTTACAAGCTCCATCTCCATGCTTTTGACAGGTAATCTTATTGTGGCAGAGTAGAATTTTGAAGATGTTCTTCCATATTAGATCCTTCCTTTTGGTAATATAATGTACACACAGAAATAAACGCTCAGGAATACAGACTCGGACAACCACTAGGGAAACCACGACAGGGCAATGAGCTGAAGGAATAGGTAAGCTTATATAACCCTCTTGTGGATCCGATTGGCCGTAACCAGCCTTTGACCCCAGAACGTGCGTGTGCTTCCTTTGTGTGACGTTACGTCGACGTCATCATTATCGTGGGCTGACGTGGGGTTTTAATTTGGAACTGGTCTGCAGCGTCTGGCATCCTTTAATATACCGCAGGAGGGGGGGGCTAATCGGCGTGCAAGATGGACGCTCAGTAATCTGCTCCAGCACATGGGCTCCATCAAAACTGCATTTACAACGAGCCGAACACCATAAAATCAAAGTAAGCATTATGACAACCTCCAAAACAAAGAAGGCTTCCACTAAAGCCGAAAAAACAAACTTTTTCGGCCAGAAACAGGTGCCCACGGCGGATGCCACGCGGGAGTATGCCCATAATGGCGCAGAGGGCCCAGATACCCATTACAGGCCAGCACAGCCTGAGGACCCCCTTCCACCTGAACACCTCACACGAGGACACTTCGAAAATGCCATGGAAGCAATGGCAACTAAACTAATCTGCACCTGGGAAAAAACGGCGGAACAAATCAAGAAGTGCAGGACCTGTCAACCCGGACTGCCACGGTAGAACAACACTGCCAGGCACTCACAACAGTACAGGCAGACATGACAGGGCAGCTGCAAGCCCTACATCTCAAAATAGAAAATATAGAAACCCCTATGGCTGACCAAGAAGACAGGTCACGCAGAAACAACCAGAGACTTCGCGGCATCCCTGAAGCCGTATCCCCAGACGACCTGCAGCCCTATGTAAGAGGCCTCCTGAATGCCTACGCCCCAGACATCCCGACGGACATGCTCCTCTTAGACAAAGTACACCGGGTGGAAAAGCCGAGGTTCCTGCCTGACTCCACGCTGCGCGATGTCCTAATCAGGGCGCATTACTACCACATTAAAGAACTGATTCTCAAAGCGTACCAAAGCAGAGCAGACCCACATGAGGATTACACATCTGTGCGCATCATGGCAGACCTTTCGGCGGCAACGCTGCGTCAAAGAAGGGACTTCCACCAGGTTACCACGGAACTCCGCAACCACGGGTTCGCTACAAGTGGGGGTTACCCATGAAAATCATCCTGACCAGGAACGGGAAAACTACATACATTGCGACTCCAGAAGAAGGGAAAGCGGCATTGGCAACATGGGGTCTCTCCGACCAGCCTCAAGCGGAAAAACGTCCAACCCCCCAAGGCCCGAACTATAATGCTACCATGGACTAACATTAATAACCGATTGACCGAGGCATGATTCGTGCAAGTATCTTCAATGTAAATATATACGTTGTTATGCATAGCCACAGATTAGCCACCTTTCATGCACACACATGTGAGTAAAGCAGCATCAACCTAGGGACCACCCTACCCACATAACGATTCTCACACCCAATGGGTAAAGAGGGCACTTTGAAACAGCACCCGGGAACACCAGGCGGGGGTTCAGCGAGCGGCCTAGGACAGACAAAGCACTAGAGGTCGTAGCTCACACCAGGGCAAACCCCAAGCTCACCAAAATAAACAGAGCAACTGATATTAACACCTGAGTCAGCACAACCAACCCCAAGCACCCCGAGGCAAACATAAATGAGATATGGGTGGGGGCAGCACACGATGCTACCACACTGGTTGACTAAAATAGCTAAACGTATAACCAGAGAATGATGATAATATTGCTTGCATGCCTCATACCATTATGTTGAATGTTATACTATAAAGTTTTAATGACTTATACCTTACAGTTTTCAATCAGTTACGACAAGTTCAGCTTTATTTATACCTACAGATACAATAGGGAGCCCAACTAGCCATCACTTGGAAACTCCCATCCAAAACCCCACGGTACGAATAGCGTACCAGACCGTAGGGTCTCTGTACATAACACCACAACACAGCTAACCCTACTCCCTAACCTTCACCACCCTCCCTCCCCCCCTTTAAACCCAATAAAACCATAAACCTTCAGTACCATCTGACACGTACACAGAACCACCCTCCCTCCCCACGTAGCTACCACTATGATCATCTACTCTCACAACACAAAAGGCCTAAACACGCCACACAAAAGGCGCATTCTACTGGAGGATCTCAAAAAAACAAAGCAGACATAGTTTGCATACAAGAGACACATTTTGTCACCAACCACATCCCCACATTCGACACCAGAGAATACACCACACAGAACCATGCAACGCACACATCCAAATTGAGAGGGGTCTCGATTTTGTTACACAACTCTCTCACCATGGAACTACTCAGCATCCACAAAGACAATCAGGGAAGATATGTGATCCTACATTGCATAGTCAACAATATCCCGCTTATCTTAATATGTCTATACAGCCCAAACGAACAGCAACACAATTTCCTACACAAGGTCCTTAACAAACTACCGGGGGACTCGACCACCCCCACGATCATTTTCGGCAACTTCAACAACACTATGGACTCCCGCATAGACTCAACGGCCCACAGAACATCAACTAGACACCATAAGCTCAAACCCAATAACAAAGCATTCACAAAACTCCTCCATGAACATGGGCTATATGATGCCTGGAGAACGAGACACCCATTAACAAGAGAATATACATTCTTCTCACAAGTACATCAAACCTACTCCAGAATTGATCACATCCTTGTATCCGGCCAACTTCTCCCACAGATAGAGGACTGCGCTATAGGATACATAGTATAGTCCGATCATGCCCCACTGACTCTGACCTTACATACCACCTACCAACACCGAGGTAAGCCCCCGTGGCGCCCCAATGACTCGCTTCTACAGGACACGCAATTCACTGCACAGCTGACTGCAACCCTACTAGACTACTTCCACCTTAACGACAACTCCGAAGCCTCAGCCTTCTCCATTTGGCAGGCCCATAAAACAGTCCTGAGGGGACAACTGATAAGCCGAGCAGCATATCTCAAACGCCAACGCAACAAAGAACATACGGACCTCCTCAGAAACTTAAGGGACACCACAACCCAACATCTCCTGAACCCATCTGACACCAGCGCGGAAGCTATAAAACAAATCACTTCACAAATCAATGCACTGACACTAGGGAAAACGGCCCATATCCTCACCAAATTAAAACTGAAAACATACACACAAGGCAACAAAACAGGGAAGCACCTGGCCAACCTACTCAGGCAAAAACAAGCAAATTCTAAAATCACACATCTAATCACGAACACAGGGGAAAAACTGCACAACCCAAAGGACATCAATGACAGTATGGCTGACTACTATCACTCCCTCTACAACCTAAAAACAGACCCAACTCTACACCAACCCTCAAAACAAGACATAGATGACTTCCTTCAAACTACAACACTACCCAAACTAACGCCCACACAAAGAGATACCATACAAAGCCCTGTCACTACGCAAGAAATATTAGACACTATCCAATCCCTCCCGAACGGGAAATCACCAGGCCCAGACGTTCTGACCAATTCATATTATAAACAGTTCACAGCCATCCTAGCTCCCAACTAAGAAACACATTTCACTATGCCTTTCAGAAGGGGATGATGCCATCAGAGATGCTCATGGCGCATGTCGCCACACTCCCCAAACCAGGAAAGCCCCCGACCCGCTGCCAAAACCTAAGACCCATCTCTCTGTTGAACACAGATGTGAAAATTATTGCCAAAAGTTTTTCCAACAGATTAGCACTCATTATCCCCACCATTATAGGCGAGGACCAGGTGGGGTTTGTGGGAGGAAGACAAGGAGCGGACGGCACACGCAAAACATTAGACTTACTATATGAGATACCGGGGAAAAAAGATCCCAGCATCCTACTATCCCTAGACGCAGAGAAAGCCTTTGATATGCTCCACTGGCCCTTTCTACTGGCAGTCCTGAAGAAATTTGACTTTCCACCACAGTTCCTATCATTAATCACCGCACTATACTCCTCCCCAATAGCACAAGTAGTAAAGGGGGGATTCATATAAAAAAACATTTCACATTTCAAATGGATCCAGACAGGGCTGCCCACTCTCCCCGATACTCTACATTCTGGTGTTGGAACCGCTTACCCAACTAATACGTTGCAACCCAGACATACAAGGGATTAAAATAAGAGGCAGGGAATATAAAATGTCACTATTTGCTGACGACATCCTGCTAACACTTGAACAACCACACATATCCCTACCTAATTTCCACAAGATCCTCTCCCTATACAGCAAGTGTTCCTACTACAAACTGAACATTGCAAAAACACTAGCCCTGGGAATTAACATTCCCAACCCAGACCTGACAACCCTAAAAACAAACTTTAACTACGACTGGAAAGGACAACATCAAATTCTTAGGGGTCAACCTGACACCAACAACACACAAGCTCTTTAAGGCAAACTACACCAAACTGACAACCGAAATCAAAAGTATCCTCCAAAACTGGAAGGGGAAATACATCTCATGGACAGGCTGGAAAGCCTCAGTGAAGATGGTAATATTGCCAAAAATCCAATACCTCTTACGCACACTACCACTCACTCTCCCCCAAAAAATACCTACTAGAACTGCAAAATACTTTAAATAACTATGTCTGGGATTATAACAAAACCGAGAGTGGCAAAGGCAATGTACAAACCGTTCGCCCAAGGCGGGATGGGCCTACCCAAAGTAAGAGGCTACTACCAAGCGGCTCAAATAGCACCACTGTTGACAGCGTCGAACAACTGTAACCCAACAGCATGGACCGAAATAGAGAAGAACCATGCAAAGGGACTTGCACTACCAACTCTGGCATGGCTACCCAAAACCCACCGACCGAAAACCACAGAACTACTGCCTACTACTGCGCTAACCCTCTCAATATGGGACAACTATAGAAAAAAGATGGGAGCAACGACAACACTAGCCCCAGCAATCCCTATAGAAGCACTACGATTATTCATCCCCGATTTCAACTACAAGCTCTGGCAAAGACATGGGGTGGAAACCGTGTCTCAACTACTACAGAACAACAAACTCAAGACATTTTCAGACCTAGGAACAGAATACACTCTGCCATCCACAACAACCTTCTCTTATCTCCAAATACAGTCTTGGACGAACTCCCAACCGGCACAACCAGAAACACAGATACCAGGCCCCCATTGGTATAAAATAATACAGATATGCACCAAAACCAAGCAGGCAAAGAAACTCATATCCTTGATTTACACCTCCGAACATACACAATGCCGAAAACAACCACCCTCCTTCAAATCAGCATGGGAAAAGAACATCGGACACCAGCTTACGGAAGAACAATGGCAAGACATCTACCAAGCCCACAAATGACTAACACTCTGTACAAACCACCTAGAATCTTCACGCAAGCTACTCTACAAATGGTATTTGGATCTCACAAGACTCAAACACAGCTTCCCTGACACATCTGACACATGCTGGAGATGCCAAACAAACAAAGGAACTCTGATACATATATGGTGGCACTGTCCACTGCTTCAACACTACTGGACACAAGTTGCAAACCTAACGACCCGATGCACGGGGCTGAAACTACCTTCAACACCTGAAATGTTCTTCCTACTTCTGCTCCCACAGGAGCCACATACACACATCAAATACATGACATATCATATCATAATTGTGGCCCTCACTGTCATAAGCAGACAGTGGAAGCAAACAACAACCCCAACACTCAAACAATGCATAGAAACAATAGAGCACGCCAAACTATATGAAACTTTAGCAAGGAAGACACAGCAGAAAAGCTTCCACTGGTCAGCAGCGTGGGAGCTATGGGACAAAAACAAACCCCATTAACATAACACACAAGATCATAAAAACCCTCACGGAGAGGGAACGAATACGTCCAACTACGAAAACCTCAATTGAACAGTACACAACCTATATGAACCCAGCTACACCCCTTCACATCCTGACCGACCCCCCCCCCACCCGCCTACAACCCCCATCCCCCAACCGACCCAAGCCCCGCACACTCACCAACGATGCAGGCAACATGTGCCTGGGTCCCAAACATGACAAGGCATGATAGCTCATAAACCCAGGCCATCATGAGTAAGACCTCAACAGAAAAGGTAGAAAATGGTGTTTAGGAGACATATGTTTCACCCGCTGTTTAACCCACTCAGTTGTCACACACAGAGTTCTCAACCTTAACCTTAACAAAGATGTAAACCTAACCATGATAATGTACCTGCAACAAGCAAATGTGAAATTATTTACTATGAATCCCTTCCTTCTTCCCTTTTGTACCCTATTTACATTCGAAAATAAAAATTGTCAAATTCAAAAAAAATAAAAATATATATACCACAGGAGTCAGATTTACCGGCACAGGGTTGCCGAGCAGCACCTTTATTAATGCCAGGAGGGCATTCGTCATTGACATGTGACAATGTTACATCCAGGGCTATTGCTTCCATAAGGCGACACAGGCCAACTAAGGGTGCCCGGCCTGGTGGCACAAACCTCTGGGTGACTGGCAGGTAACTTCCTCTCCTGCTGGTCAATTCTTGTAGCATGGCCGAGCACCAGCAACTCCACGTGGCCCATGCTTCCACTCTATGCATACCGCCGACTGTTTGGAGGGGGTGAGGATATGAACAGCACACATTGCTGCTGGGTATGGCAGAATTACCACCAGCCCCCTTCTTATACTGGAGACTAGAGCCACACCAGAGAGCAGGAAAAGACAGAGAGGAGGGGACTGGGCCAGGAGAGCAAGCTCCTAACTCCCAACTACCTCAGCCAGTACACTGGATGCCAGGGAAGTTACCTTCCTGCATCCAAAAGGTAGGAAACAGGAGGATGGCTATAAACGTGGATGTTTTGACCAGAATGTTTGGGTGTATCTGTATGTCTGTCAGTGTGTCTGTGTATGTATCTGAATGTTTGTCAGTGTGTCTGTATGTTAGTGTGTCTGTGTATCTGTATGCTTGTCAGTGTATGTATCTGTAAGTCTGCCAGTATGTCTGTGTGTATCTGTTTGTCTGTCAGTGTGCCTGTGTGTGTCTGTTAGTGTCTCTGTATGTCAGTGTGTCTGTTTATCTGTATATATGTCTGTGTGTCAGTATGTCTATGTGTGTATCTGCATGCCTGTCAGTGTGTATTTGTGTGTATGTGTGTGTATCTTTGTGTCTGTATGTCAGTGTGTGTGTATCTGTATTTCTGTCAGTGTATATCTGTATGTCTGTCGGTATGTATCTGTATACACTTTTTAACAAACTCATTTAGCGCTATCCACTACTTTGGGTTAATAGCAAAAGAATAGGAAGCACACTCAGTTTTTAACGGGCGCACTGGAGCAGGACCAGCAAATCCAGTATACGTATAAGAGTGAATAAGAAAAAATCTCCAGGCACTCACAGTGTTCAAGCCACAGGCAGATTTATTGACTTAAAAAGGACAAGCAACATTTAGACCTGCTAATAAAGAATCTTAGCAGGTTGAAACATTGCCTTGCCTTTTTGAGCCAATAAATCTGCCTGTTGCTTGAACGTGAGTGACTGAATTTTTTTTTTCTTATTCACTAATGTGTATCTGTGTGTCTTTGTGTGTGTGTCTTTGTGTGTGTGTCTGTGTGTGTCAGTGTGTTTGTATATATATCAGTGCGTGTTTCTGTATGTTGTCAGTGTGCGTCTCTATGAATCTGCACGTGTGTCAGTGTGTCTATCTTTGTGTATGTGTATCACAATGTGTGTGTGGCAGTGTATGTGTATACGTGCACTCATTTTTTAGGATTCAAACACCAACACTTCACACAAATACACCCCTGCATTCAAACGTCAACACTACATATAAACACACCTCTGTATTAAACACCAAAATTATATATTAAACACATCCCTGCATTTAGGAACCAACACTACATCAAAATGCATGCTTGCATTTGAACGCCAACACTACATACAAACACACCCCTACATTCACACAAACATACTCCATACTAAAACATTCTTACATTCAAACACACAAACACTGCTCAGAGCCAAATACAACCATGCAAGCATGGGAAATGTGTAATGCCCTACCTGTCAAAGCATTGTTGAAGTTACATGATAGATGGAGATCTACATTTTGTCCATTCTTGCAATCATATATTCCATTTGTAAAAGGAGACATTCCAGGGTATCTTATAAGGTGCATATTGTGCCTTAACATACCCCCATTTTTTCACCAATATATGCCAAAGTATGTGGTAAAAAATTATTTTGTGCATTTTTTACATACGGATTGCATTTTTGCTGGGCGTTTTGTATATTTCATATGTGCCACTAAGTTCAAACCTCCCAAATTATGCTCAGCTAAGTCTTCTGAGTAAAAAGACACCCCCAATGAATGTCTTTGGCACTATTTCGTGAAGCTACAGTGCCATATAGGAGACCAAGCCATATCCGTTTTTACCAAACTTTGAATTTTGACGCTGGGCCTATGTGCAATTTCCAAGCATCTTCGCAGGTTTTAAATTCAAACTACCCCACAAAGGCCTACCATTTCTTAAAGTAGACACCCCAGGGTGTTTCAAAAGGTATAGTTTGAACCTTAGCGTGGGATCATTTTTCCGCTAGCTTGTACCAGATGTAGTGGTAATAAGCGTTTTTTCTGCCTTTTTGACATACAAAGTGAGTTTGCACAGTATATTTTGCAAACCTTATGTGTGCTACGACTGTATAATACTTCATATGTTGCTCAGCTATGTCGGCTGAGTACAGCAATACCCCCGTATGTACCTTTGCCAGGTATGTGTGGACATCGGAGGGGCACATTTGGGACACAGCCATTCCAGTTTTTTTCAAACTTTGAATTTTTATGCTGTGCCTATGTCCCATTTTAGAGTATTTTACCAGGCTATATAATCCAAATACCCCATAAAGCCATACCATTTCTTAAAGAAGACATCCCAGGGTATTTTAAAAGGCATATTTTGAACCTTAGCGTGGGATCATTTTTCCGCTAGCTTGTACCAAGTGTAGTGGTAATAAGCATTTTTTCTGCCTTTTGACATACAAAGTGAGTTTGCGCAGCATATTTTGCAAACCTTATGTGTGCTATGACTGTATAATACTTCATATGTTGCTCAGCTATGTCGGCTGAGTACAGCAATACCCCCGTATGTACCTTTGCCAGGTATATGTGGATGTTGAAGGGGCGCATTTGAGACGCAGCCATTCAGTTTTTTTCTAACTTTGAAGTTTTACGCTGTGTCCATGTTCCAATTTGGAGTAGTTTAGACGGTTGGTTATTGAAACTTCCCCACAAACACATACTATTTATTAAAGAATACACCCTGGGGTGATTCAAAAGGCATATTTTGAACCTTGGCGTGGGATAATTTTTTCTCTAGTTTGTTCCAGGTGTAGTGGTAATGAGCGTTTTTAAAATGTATTTTTTTACTTTTTATAACTTTTTTACTTTTAAAAACTAGTTTTTAAACTTTTGTTTTGCGTATTAATTTTTTTAAACTTTCCTAAGCTTTCTTAAAACTTTTTTACAGATTTAACATTTTTCTAAGCTTTTTTTTTTTTACCATTAACCCCTAACTAGCAGTAAGCAGCACCAACAGTAAATTCCCCATTTTCCCATAACTCCCACCCCAGCTAGCAAAATATATAATTATAAAATATTTAAATTCATTAATTAAAAAAATTGAAAGAATAAATAAAAAGTTAATCCTCAGGGGTTAAAAAAAAATTAGATCACAGTATAATACTGTGATCTCTATTTGATCGCTGTAGGCAGTGATCGACTGGCAGGGAAGGGGTTAATTTTTATTTGGACTAGGTAAAGGGTTTTTTTTTTATTTTTTACTTAAACGTTATTAAAACATTTTTTGAAGCTTAATTTTTAACTTTTTAAAGTTTATTTAAAAACTTTTTTTAACGTTAACCCCTAGTTAGCCTAACGCCAAATCCCCCAATGCCCCACTAACTTCTACCCACCCCAGCTAGCTAAATATATATTTTTAAAATATTTTAATTAATTAATGAAATAAATTTAACCCCTGAGGGTTAAAAAAAAAAGAATTAACCCTCAGGGGTTAAAAAAAAAATCAGATCATAGTAAAATGTAATCCCTGCCAATTGATCACTGTAGTCAGTGATCAATTGGCAGGGAAGGGGTTAATTTTTTATTAAAATGGGTAAGGGGGGGGGGGACTTTAAATTAACTTTATTTTTTTAACAGCAGGGGGCAGGATCATCACTGATCCGGCTCCCTGCACTTCACACAGAACCCGGAAGTGCAGGGAGCCGGTAGGTGAGTATACAGAGCACATGTGCTCGCTCTGACTTGCGGTCAGAGCGAGCACA